AATAGTAGCCAACATGTGTAGGGAAATTCTATATCTGTTCTAATCTTTAATGTTATTCGTGTAATGATATAGTTGCTAGACCAGCTCAGGGCACCTGGTGTACAGCTGTAATGAGAGACTGTTATGCTCCTAACTGATTATGAATTGATTTGTATTTCCGGTTGACCTCCTTGTACCGTCACCAGGATGAACAAGATGTCATTAAATCAGCCATTCTGCTCCAGGCAGCCAGATAGCCAGCTTATCACCTTCAGTTCTGTAATGTGTGGTGAAGCAGATGTCTCGAAATTGGTTAAGTACTCAGAATTTATCCCAGCCCTGAAAATAAACGCAGCACATGCTGTGTTCTTCTGTGTGCTGGCTATGAGTGGTCATCTCTCACTGTGATTTCGAAGTGTGACAAGACAGATTTCCCACATCAAGGTTAAACACAGGCAGTGTGGGAGGAAATCTGTAGTCCAAGTCCTAGTTGTTGAAAATGCAGCTGCTGCTCCCGGAGCCAAGGACCGTTACCCAAGAGAATAGGAGCATGATTCTCTCTCCGCTCCATGCTTGAATCTGCACACCCTGCCTGGAGAAAGCTGAGCACAAACCCTGATGAGGGTGTTCACAGAGGAGTACAAAATGCCTGATGATATGATCTTATCCTGGAAAACCCTAAAGACCTCGCCAAAAAAATTCCTACATTTGATCAATGAATTCAGGAAAGTGTCAGATATAAAATAAATGTACAAAAATCAGCACCATTTCTTCACATCAGGAACAATAAAGCTGGGAACCAAATCAAGAAAATAATCTCATTTACAATAGCTACCAAAACAAACAAACAAACCTAGGTATGGTTTAACCAAGGAGGTGAAAGATCTCTATAAGGAAAACTACAAAACACTCCTGGAAGACGTCAGCGATGACACAAACAAATGAAAAAATATCCCATGCTCACGGATCGAAAGAATTCATATTGTTAAAATGACCATACTGCCCAAAGCAATCTATAATCTACAGATTCAATGTAATTCAGAATACCAATGTTTTCTTCACATTTAAAAAAAACCCCTAATGTTTGTAGGAAACCACCAAATAGCCAAAGCAATCCTAAGGAAAAAGAGCACAGCTGGAGGCGTCACATTACCTGACCTCAAATAATATTACAAGGCTGTGGTAACCAAAACAGCATGGTACTGCTATAAAAACTTGCATTGCCGGGCATGGTGGCACATGTCTGTAGTCTCAGCTACTCGGGAGGCTGATGTGGGAGGATCTCTTGAGCCCAGAAGTTCTGGACTGTAGTGCACTATGCCGACTGGGTCTGCACGAAGTTTGGCATCAATATGGTGACCTCCCAGGCGCGGGGGACCACCAGGTTGCCTAAGGAGGGGTGAACTGGCCCAGGATGGAAACGGAGCAGGTCAAAACTCCTGTGCTGATCAGTAGTGGGATTGTGCCTGTGAATAGCCACTGCCCTCCAGCCTCAGCAACATAGCGAGACCCTGTCTCTAAAAAAAATAATAATAAATAATAAAAACAAACAAAAACCAGTTGCATAGATTAATGGTACAGAATTGAGAACCCGGAAATAAAGCTATATGTCTATAACCAACTGATCTTAGACAAAGTTGACAAAAACGTTAAAAGAAAAGCTTGGTAAATGACTACTTTGCATCTCTCCTCTCTCTAGCTCAAAGCAGAGTTTTTTATTGATTGATTGATTGATTGATTGATTGAGACAGAGTTTTGCTCTTGTTGCCCATGCTGGAGTGACTGCAGTGGTGTGATCTCGGCTTACTGCAACCTCTGCCTCCCTGGTTCAAGTGATTCTCATGCCTCAGCCTCCCAAGTAGCTGGGATTATAAGCATGTGCCACCACGCCTGGATAACTTTTTGTAGTTTTAGTAGAGATGGGGTTTCACCATGTTGGCCAGGCTGGTCTCAAACTCCTGACCTCACATGATTCACTCTCCTTGGCCTCCCAGGGAGCTAGGATTACAGCTGTGAGCCACTGCACCTGGCCCAAAGTAAGCTTTTGAAACCTGATGCTGATGCCTAAACCATGTTCTTTCAGTCATCATTTTCTTATGTGTTGGAGATTAAATGGACGTTTAGAAATCCAGCTCACAGGCAAAAGGCAAAATTGCAAGTAAATACTTGATGAAAAAAAGTCTTTTTGGAGACAGATGGAAATATACATGAAATCAAAGAACCTTCTAACAATTCCAAAATGGAACGTGCTTCCTTTTAGCAGAGAGTGGCTAAGAGGAGCTAGAACCTTCTCTCACTTGTGTTCCCTTCAGGGCCGAGCACAGTTCCTTACCCAGAGTTGGTCCCATAAGACTTCAACTCTTCATTGGTAGGCCTGCTCTCCTGCTGGGCACATTCCTCCTGGCTGCCCATGGGGAATGGCATCAAGCAGTCTTTACTCCTAATCACATTGCAGACCTGTGAAAAAAATCCCCCAGGCCCTCCAGGAAACACTGGCTTTCACATTGAGTTACACCACAGAAACTTGCTGTCAATGAAAGACCAAATTGCTTGTGTCCGACAGACAGTGAGCAAGCATCAGCAAGGAACCCAGGGGACCAACAGAATGAATCCCTTCTGGGTCCCACTGTGGTGCTTGGTGACATGGCAGTCATCTGTAGAAGCTTAGCTAAAGGGGTACTGGCTGATCCTCAGATAAGAAGCATCTCTCTGGGTCCCACTGTGGTGCATGGCAGTCATCTGTAGAAGCTTAGCTAAAGGGGCACTGGCTGATCCTCAGATAAGAAGCATCTCTCCAAGGCTAGGCAAATTCCCATTAGGTCCAGTAAATTCTTGGTACAGTCTCCATCGTCTGTTTCTCAATATTTTACAAACCTCAAGGAAAACACAAAGGGCAACCCCTTCTGATTGTGACCATTGGAAGATGAGGCACTAACACTGGTTGTGTGCCTCCAGCGAGCATGTTCATCTACCCATCCATCTTGCAAAGGGCTTAAATAAGATCATCTCTAAGGCATGAGCTGGAAAACTCTGTATACCTTCTGCAGTGCGTTCCAGTGCTTCCATCCAATTCCTGAAGCAGGAATTATCAAGGTGGCTGGAAGTTGCTTCCTTTGTTTTTTGTTGCTGTTGTTTGTTTGTTTTAGAGACAGGGTCTTGCTCTGTTGCAGTGGCATGATCATAGCTCATTGCAGACTCGAACTCCTGGACTCAAGCGATCCACCTGCCTTAGTCTTTCAAGTACCTGGGACTGTGGTCATGAGTCATCACACCCAGCTATTTTTTTTTTTTTTAAGAGATGGGGTCTTGCAATGTTGCCTAGGCTGGGCTATGAATACACAAAGGCATACAGAGTGACATAATGGGTAAGGATGGGGCTGGTCGTAGCGGCTTACACCTGTAGTGTGAGGCAGGCTATCATTTGAGGTCAGGAGTTCGAGACCAGCCTGGCCAACATGGTGAAATCTCATTTCTGCCAAAAATAAAAAAAACTTGCTGGGCATAGTGGCGCATGCCTATAATGCCAGCTACTGGGATTATCGACACGAGGCACAATAATTGCTTGAACCTGGGAGACGGAGGGAGCCAAGATCGTGCCACTGCACTCTAGCCTGGGTGACAGAGTGAGACTCTGCTTCAACAAAAAGGTGGAGGGGGCAGGTGTTAGGATAAAAAAAACTACATACTGGGTATAACATACACTACTTGGGTGATGGTTGCATTAAAGTCTTATAATTCACCACTTAATAATTCATTCATGTAATTAAAAACCACTCATCAAAATAAAAAATACATTTAAAAAAATTAGGTACAGAGCTATGGTGGAGCCCTTGCAAGTGACGAGCCCTGAGGCTGAAGCTTTGTTAGCTTCATGGTCAATCTGTCTCTGCCCTTACCAGAGGGGCACCTGTTTCCTCTGCAGTGTTGATGTCTAACTTACAAGCAGCAACATACGAGGGAGAACATGTGTATTGGAGTCAGAAAGGGCTGGGTTCAAATACTGGCTATTTCTTCACTTGCTTGAGGATAACGTTACTTACCCTCACTATGCCTCAATTTCCTTCTCTGAGAGAAAAGAGGTAGCAATGCATATTTCATGTATGTTTACATGGATTACAAGGGATGGCATATTTTACATAAAACAGGTGAAAGTGTTTGATACTATTTGCTACATGGATGATAGACTTCCATTCAACAGTTTTCACTAGATTTCATGCGCATGAGTTAAAGCCACCTGCTACAATGGCTAGTCATTATCTTGCCAAATAATAATGGAAAAAGAGCATGCAAGCATGTATTCAAGGATAGTACAAATGTATAAAAACAAGGTGCAAGATAGAGCCACATAACCCTAAACCAGTGGCTCACCATTATTATTTTATAGAGACAAGGTCTCCCTCTATTGCTCAGGCTGGAGTGCTGTGGCATGATCTTGGCTCACTGCAACCTTCATCTCCCAGGCTTAAGTGATCCTCCCTTCTCAGCCTCCCGAGTAGCTGGGACTACAGGCACGCACCACCACTCCTGGCTAATTTTTGGTTTTTGTAGAGACAGGGTTTCACCATGTTGGCCAGACTGGTCTCGAATTCCTGGGCTCAAGCAGTTTTCCCACTTCAGCCTCCTAAAGTGTTGGGATTACAGGCACAGCCACAATTATTTTTTCTACCTCGATGTAGCACGGGGATGCAAACCATTCCAGTTGACAATAGCTTCATACAAGAACAATAGAAAAGGAGTGTATTGGCCGGGTGCAGTGGCTTATGCCTGTAATCCCAGCACTTTGGGAGGCCGAGGTGGGAGAATCACGAGGTCAAGAGATCGTGGGTAATATATATATATATATATATATAAATATATATATATATATTTTTTTTTTTTTAAAGAAAAGGAGTGTATTAACACAATTTGCAAAGCTCCTGGTATTTGTTGCCTTCTTATGATACATATTTTCCTCTCACCTATATCCCAGCTCCTATAGGCTGTCCTCAGTCCCAGGTGAGAATCATAGTCTTCACAATAACTAAGGCAAAATACTGAATTTATTCAGTTGATTTGACCAATCACATTGGACAAAAGGGTTTTATTTGCATAATATAAAAACATACTTTAAGTAAAACTACTTGCATACTTTACAATGTTACAAATATATATGAGAGATTCATGAAGGCATTTGATATAAAACATACACAGTATGCTATTTTAATGTACAAATGCTTAAAAGAAAATTGAGTCAGAAGAATTACAAAAGGAGCATCATCAATAATTCACAAAAGTTTTCATTTTTCTTAAAGGTCACATTCTCATCCTTTGGGATGTACCAAAATAATGTGGTTTACACAGTTTTATCCACATTCAGAACAACGTGTTTTGAATGTCTTAAGCATAGCATGTACAGTACACAATGTTTCCATAGGAACATAAAAGAAACTGTCACTAGTGGCCTGCCCTCAGATGGCTTCTAATTCATCTTAGCCATTTTTAAGACACTAGTCCAGCTTATTGCTACAATATTCAAGTTGTTCTAGTCACCCAAATTATAATGAATTCAATGTATACTAGAATTTACCAATAAAGGCTCAAAGAGTTATATACATCAATATACACAACACAACTATTCCAAGTAAAATGAAGATTCCATACTTAAATAAGAAACGAGAATAGTAATTTTCAGGTACCCTATTATCCCTGTGACTGGCATGTTTAGAATTTTGAGCAAAGTGCACAGCGAATGAAACAGTCAGCAGACACGACTCTTCTGTGAACGTGCAAACTCCTTCCTTGGAATAACATCACCTGAGAAATGAGAACCTTGAGGCCTGGTGCACACCAGATAGCTTCACGAGTCAAACACACAGGGGCCACTTGGAGGTACATTCGTGGGTCACGGGAGGTCACGCTGCTCCTTCAAAAATGGTACAATTCACTATACAGGGTCCCTGTGTGGAGGCGGCAGAACCAGCCTCCAGGAGATAAATGCTGTCTTAATTTAGAGAAACATGTCGTCCTTCAGCCATATTCAAGAGTTGGTGGCCCACGAACAAGATTGAAGTAGCCGGCCAGAGCGCCAAGGTCTATGTAGAGAGAGCGCTGTCGCTTGAGCATCTCAGACTCCTCGGTGCTTCCCGTGCATGAAGAATCTGAAAAGGAAAATATTAAAAAAATAAGTTATGAGAAAACATATCAAATAATAAATAACTTCCTTCTGCAGAGAAATAAATCCTTTGGGGCCTAATAAAACCAGCTGGGCACAATGGCTCATGCCTGTAATCCCAACACTTTGGGAGGCCAAGGTGGGCAGATCACAAGGTCATGAGTTCAAGACCAGCCTGGCCAACATAGTGAAACACCTTCTCTACTAAAATATAAAAATTAGCCAGGTGTGGTCGCAGGTGCCTGTAATTCCAGCTACTCAGGAGGCTGAGGCAGGAGAATCTCTTGAACCCAGGAGGGAGAGGTGGCAGTGAGCCAAGATAGTGCCATTGCACTCTGGCCCGGGCAACAGAGCAAGACTCCATCTCAAAAAAAAAAAGAAAAGAAAAAAAACCATTACATAGACCACAAAGTTCAAACAGGAGTCAATGGAGACAAGAAATTAGTTAGAAATCCTGGCATATTTTTCCAATAGTCAGATGGTCCTCTTCAAATACACAAAAGTCAGATAAGCAGCAAAGAAATATAAACAAGTATACCAGGCTTGACATCTGGGTTTGGACCTAAATGGATTAAGAACGCCACAGATTTTTAATAAAAATGGAAACCCCTCTCCCTGCATATTCAGTGCTCCTGGAATGCATACTGACTTTCCTAAGTGGAAAAAATTCATGGCTGGCAAGATTTTAAGCAGAGGAAGATGGAAATGTAAGTTGACTTCAAACTCAGTATTTTATCCATGCAGGGCAATGCTATGCTGTTTCCCTAACTCACTTGATGTGCGGTGGCTCATGCCTGTAATCCTAACACTTTGGGATGCTGAGGTGGGTGGATTGCCTGAGGTCAGAAATTTAAGATCAGCCTGACCAACATGGTAAAACCCAGTCTCCACGAAAAATACAAAAATTAGCCAGATGTGGTGGCAAGCACCTAGAATCCCAGCTACTCAGGAGGCTGAGGCGACAGAATCGCTTGAACCTGCGAGGTGGAGGTTGCAGTGACCTGAGATCATGCCACTGCACTCCAACCTGGGTGACAGAGCAACGCCATCTCAAAAAAAAAAAAAAAAAAAAAGAAAGCAAGAAAAAGTGAATCAAGCAGAACCCTTGAACTTTACCAACAGCAAAGCTGTCATGTTCAATTTGTTTCAAAGACCAGTGTTGCAAACAAGCAAGTCAGAGGCATTTTCCAATGACTATGCTACCTATACTCACACTGAAAATCTGGTGCTAAATTAGCCAATTTAAAAACAAAGCATGCTTCTGTTCATCTTCTTTCTGGAATTTCTCAAGCAAAGTATGGGACTCAAGAAGTCATTTCCTTTTTTTCCAAGTGCTTTCATGAACACATCAGAGGTTTGATGTGGACGGAAAGAGAAGGGAAGCAAGGGTGCGGACACAGCAGGGTGGCCCTACCAGCAATGTTCTCAGGAAGTTCCAGCTCCTTCCTACTCAGCAGCCTCTTGCGCTCAAAGAGAGCAGAGTCCAGACTCTGGCAACGAGGCTGATCCTCTCTGGGCGGGTTCAGGGCCTCGTGTTTTAGCAGGTCTCCGGCTCTTGGGCGGTGATTGGGGTTTCTCTCCAGGGCAGCTTCTATCAGCTCTCTCATCACTGGACTACAGTCATCTGCGATGTCTTCCAGTGGAGGCGCTTGCTTGTGGATCTAGCAATAAACCAGCTCTCTTAGCATGAAAGGTATGGAGATACACCCTCAACAGCAAAAGCACACTGGTAACAGGACTTAGAGGCTGGGCATAGTGGCTCACGCCTATAATCTCAGCACTTTGGGAGGCCAAGGCGGGTGGATCACCTGAGGTCAGGAGTTCAAGACTAGTCTGATCAACATGGAGGAACCCCATCTCTACTAAAAATACAACATTAGCCGGGCATGGCGGCACATGCCAGCTATAAGTGGCACCTATAATCCCAGCTACTTGGGAGGCTGAGGCAGGAGAATCACTTAAACCCGGGAGGTGGAGGTTACCATGAGCTGAGATCATGCCATTGCACTCCAGCCTGGGCAACAAGAGTGAAACTCTGTCTCAAAAAATAAATAAAGTAACAGGACCTAGAAAGGAATTAGTTTCTCACCACATGCCCTGCAACAAATGCAGTTCATGCCCTCAAACAAGCAAGCTTCTCTTTAATGTCTTTTATCTTTTCCTTTAGAGACAGGGTCTTGGCTCTGTCGTCCAGGCTGGAGTGCAGCATCATGAACACAGCTCACTGTAGCCTTGACCTCCTGGGCTCAAGTGATCCTCTCACCTCAGCCTCCCATGCAGCTGAAGCCACACCATCATGCCTGGTTCCCTTTAATTTCTAAAGGATACAAGATTAAGCCCATCTTCTGGTTCAGTGTTGCAAAAGATAAGTGCTAGGTTTGAGTGTCAGTGACAGCTTCCAATCAGTGGCCCAAACGTCACTATGCAGTAACAAAGAAGCGTCTGCTCCTGAATTTATCAACGGTAAAATGGGAATTGCATGTTCCACTACAAGCCAGGCTGGTGTGAACATTCATAATAAAAAATATTTTAAGTGTTCAAAGAACATATACAACTTCCTTGGCTGAAATATGTATGCTACTCTGATGCTACTGAGTAGTATTGCATTATTACACATACAATGGAATAGCACAAATTATGCCCAATGCACATTTTAGTAAGTTCCCACTAAAATTGTTGTTTTCATTGTAAGAATGAAGCTTGCTTCTACATGGGAAGAACTTGTAGCTTACCTGTCATTTCACCACTGCCTCATTCAGATGGGGGAGGTATAGAGGGCAGAGCAGCCCCTCCCAGCCTGTGCCATGCATAACTCACCCCCCCAGCCCTGGTTGACCCCCCCACTTACTATGTACAGGTAGGAGGGATAGGCTGAGCGAGGGTAGCGCTTCACCCAGGGCGGGGTGCCCGTCTGCATGTGGATGAGCGTGGCCCCCAGGCTGTAGATGTCTGCTTTTGTTGAATGGCCCCTGCATAGGATGACCTCCGGACTCATGTAAATCTGAAAAAGATGTGGGAAACATTCAGTTTCATTCCCCTCCTTTGTGTGGGGTTCCATTTCCCTAATTCAGTTCTGGAAATTGGCTCATTCACCTTAAGATGGGAGAATAACATGGGCATTCCCTGGGAACCAGGCCGCTCTTGCTGGAAGTGTCCTTGCAATCTGACAAAGAACACCTGGCCAGGCACAGTGGCTCACACCTGTAATACCAGCACTTTCGGAGGCTGAGGTGGGCGGATCATTTCAGGTCAGGAGTTCAAAACCAGCCTGGCCAATATGGTGAAACCCCATCTCTACTAAAAATACAAAAATTACCCGGGCATGGCGGTGGGTGCCTTTAATCCCAGCTACTTGAGAGGCTGAGGCAGGAGAATCGTTTGAGCTTGGGAGGCGGAGGCTACAGTGAGCCGAGATCATGATACTGCACTCCAGCCTGGGAGACAGAGTAAGACTGTCTCAAAAATCAAAAACAACAAAAGAATAAGAAAAACCTTTTTCTGGCTGATCGGGTGGCAAAGAGCCTGGAACCAGGAATCCATCTGAGACTCCCACTCATCAAAATCCTGCCATCCACTGATCAGGTGTAGCTAAGTTTTCTATTAAAATGCTATTCCTTTTATGGTTAAATGAGCTACAAATAGACTTCTTCATCTGTTTGCCATTACACTGCCAACCCTCTAAATATCTGCAATGATAAAAGGTGAGAGAAGTCTATAGGGTATTCACGCACATTTCTTGAAAGGGAAAAACTTAAAAAAATAAAGTGTATGTTGTAAACGTGATCCTAAAGAGTCATTTTTATGAACCATCTGTTATTTTTACCTACCATGTAGCCCAGTGACTATTAAATGCAGCCCTATTAACATTGTATATGTTATATTTGGTTTCATGAGTCCATGCTGAATAAACAGGGGTGGTTTTAGAAACAGTTTCTGTAAGAAGCGTTTCTTTCTAAACTTAAGAAAGAAAGAGAGGTGGGGCATGGTGGCTCATGTGTCTAATCTCAGCACTTTGGAAGGCCGAGGCAGGAAGATTGCCTGAGCTCAGCCTGGAAAAGATGGAGACCCCCAATTCTACAAACTAATTAGTTACCTAATTTAATTTTAAAAAGTTTTTAAAGGAACAGAGCAAGCACTGGTGACCAGTGATCTGTATTTATGGCTGGTGCAGACGTATAGTAGTGAATAGCTCAATTATCAATATTTTGCTCTAAACAGCGTGGACACTGCCACGTGAATAAGAGAATGGAGGTCAGTGTTTCTGGAACACACTTCAGGGTAAGTAAATAGAGAACTAACTTACAAAAACTGGAGAAACTGCCCAGTCTCCCCCCTAACCCTGCTCAGCTCCTTCCTACAAGCCACTTCTGAGCAGACTTCCTTTTGCTCTCAGCAAACAGGTTAAACTGAGCTCTGGTTCTAAGCTGTCCCTGCAGCAGAGCCAGAGGACTTTCTGGAAAGATTTTGCCACTAAGTGTGTCACAAAGTTAAAAAATTAATGCACAACATTGTACCTATAGTCAACAATACTGTATTGAATATTTGTTTCGTTTTTTGAGATGGAGTCTCTGTCACCAGGCTGGTGACAGAGTGGTGCAATCTCGGCTCACTGCAACCTCTGCCTCCCAGGTTCAAGTGATTCTTCTGCCTCAGCCTCCCGAGTAGCTGGGACTACAGGCTCGTGCCACCACATCCAGCTAATTTTTTAGTATTTTTAGTAGAGACGGGGTTTCACCACGTTGCCCAGGATGGTCTTGATCTCCTGACCTCACAATCCATCCGCCTCAGCCTCCCAAAGTGCTGGGATCACAGGCGTGAGCCACCACACCAGGCCTACTGTATTGTCTACTTAAAAATTTGTTGAGAGGGTAGAGTTCATGCTAAGTGTTCTTATCACAATGAAATAAAAAAGAAAAGATTCATCAGGATATTCCCAGACAAAATAAATAAATAAATAAAAAGACAAAAGAAAAAGAAAAAATACAAAAAGAAATGCAGTGGGTATTTTTAACTGTCCATAGAGGATGCCTATCTTCTCTCCTGTACCCCGTCCTCCCCACCAATAAGGCAAGGAATAGGCTGAGTGCTCATTGTTGGCGTAGCCCACAGGGGCTGTGCCTAGAGGCTTGTAGGTTCTACGTGACTGCACGCCTAGGAAGCCTGCGGGGATGGAGCATCCATAAGCCTGTTGGCCTGGGTGCTGCCCTTCAGGCAGAAACCCAGAGCTTCCCGGCTCACAGTGCTTGTTCCTCAAGCTCTACCAACTACCAGACAGATCAGGGAGGAGCAGGGTTCAAGAGGTTCAAGCACTCGACAGGCTGGCTGATTCAAAGGCATGAAACAGCCCCGGTGGGGCCAACACAGGGTTCTCTGGGAGTTCTGTACCCTCAGGTCTGAGCACCAGAGCAAGAGAAAACCTTAAAGTCAGCGATCAAACCCTTCAGCTCTCAACATGCTTATTAGAAAGGGAAAGACCCTGTGTGTGTGTATGTGCGCATGTGATGACTGCACGTTAATTTATGTAGGTAAAACCAAGCAGACTTAGAAGGGCTTTCAAAAGGACTAAGTTCTAAAAGTAATTCTAATTTGTTATTCACATAGTGAATTTGCATTCACTATGTATTCTTTGTACCACGTGACTCAAAACCAGTCGATTCTGCATATGCTGGATCAACCTTGTATGTGTGTTACATGGTTACCACAGAATGCTCTGAATATGAATGCTCAGAGAGAAAGATCAAACAGGGGTGACCAGGGTTTGCATTTGCAGCTGTGCTGCAGAAATCGGAAATTGTCTGTGACTGCAATACCACACGATCAAGTTCTAACATCAAGCAAGTCTGCACAGCTGACTGACTAATTAGATCTCCTGGCTCTTTAAGTAGGAAGAGTAAAAGCAAGCTTATTGAAAGGTTTCATTGGTTACATCACAACTTTGCTGCTGTCAAACTTCAACTCCTGTGTGCTTTGCTACTAAGTATATCACAAAGATAAAAAATTAATGCACAACATTGTACCTATAGTCAACAATAGTGTATTGTATACTTAAAAACTTGATGACAGGGTAGAGTTCATGCTAAGAGTTCATTTACTAAGCAGATGGTAAATGCAGGTTGATTAAAAGAGAGTTTGTATTTATAAACACCAAGGCTCAGTTTCACACTTCATAAAAAGCAATTTGCATTTGCCAAAAATAACTTGATCCAAATTCTACTCAGGAGTGAAATACGTTATTATCTCATATCCAAGCATTCTGCTGGACAGCCCCAGAAGGAACACTTCTTTCTCCAATGTTGCAAAATGTTCGACTTCACCACATTGCCAGGAAAAGTATTTTCCATCTTTAATACCATAAATAGTTTGTTTCTCAGACTGGTTCCAGGAAAAAGGGTGGTGGAATATTACATATCTGAACTCGTGACTAGTGCCAAATATGCTGAAACATTTTCCAAAGAAAACATATCGTAAGCATCAAGTCTTATTAGATCTCACACTTTGGTGAAGTATTCTTAAGACCTAGGGACTGAGCATTCTTTAAAAAAAACAAAACTACGGTTTTCCCTTCTGAATATTGTTCTGCTCGAAAACAACTATCAAGAATCCTCTCTCGAGTATTTTCAATAATAACTTCACTAATATTCACAAAAGCAAGGATTTCTTCTGCTGCGCTGGAGAGTCTTGGCTCTGAGAGAGTTGAGAAAGGGCTTATAGAATCCTGGGGTTTTTGTTTTGTTTTGTTTTTTTAGGACAGGGTCTTCTTTTATTGTCCTAGCTGTGGGTGCAGGGGTGTAATCACCGCTCACTGCAGCCTCATCCTGGGCTCAAGCAATCCTTCCACCTCAGCCTCCTGAATAGCTGGGACTACAGGCATGAGCTATCATGCAAGTTTTACAAAAAGTTGTTTTTTATTTTTTTTTTACTTTCTATAGTGTTGGGGTCTCACTATGTTGCCTAGGCTGGAAGAATCTTGGTTTGAAAGGAAGATCATTTTTTTTTGTTGCTGCTGCAATCCAGTTCAGGGAAACACGTATACTAGCTAGACTAAGGGTTGTCATCTGATTGAACACCAAGAGTGATCTGGTAACCTCGGCACTTTCAGCAAAGAGAAGGGCACGGGGCTGAGTGGCTCAGGCAGTGAAGCTTCCCCCGGTAGTGATGAGGGTCCAGGGAGGCAGTTTTTACACCCATTTACCATCCTGCTTGCATCACACCTTATGTTCATCGCAATCAACTGTGAACTAAACTGTTGTGCCTTTTCTTTCCTTCCTTCCTCCCCCTCCCTCCCTCCCTCCTGCCTTTCTTTCTTTTTCTTTTCCTTCCTTCCCTCCTTCCTTCCTTCCTTCCTGCGTGCCTTCCTTCGGTCATTACTTCCTTCCTTCCTTCCTTCTCTTTCTCTCTTTCTTTCTTTCTTTTTCTTTCTTTCACAAAAGAGATGAAGTTTCACTATATTGCTCAGGCTTGTCTCAAACCCCCCAGCTTAACAGGGAGACAGGTTGTAGTGAGACAAGATCACGCCACTGCACTGCAGCCTGGGAGACAGAGCAAGACTCTGTCTCAAAAAAAAAAAAAAAAAAACACCCAATCTTGGCCTCCCAAACGGTTGAGATTATGGGTGTGAGAACCCCACGCCCATCCCTAAACGGTTGCTCTTTTAACAATTCAGGTAATTTAAAGTGGGTCCTCCCACCAAAGAGTGGGAACCACTGGAGTACCACTAAGGCATGGTCCTCACTGCCTGGTCTGATGCTTCCTTGTCAGTGCCCACAACAACCTGCCACATAGCAGATACTCAACGGACACTTGAGTGGACACTTGCTAATTGAATTAACTAGTCAGCCTATTGATGTGAATGTAACATGTATTATTTGAAAGACCATGAATGCATTTTTTGGAATCTCATTTAGAGTCAGCAAAGAAAGGCTTTTCTGGGTTGTTTTTGGCTTCACAGATGAGATAAACACAAGAACTATTTTACATCTTTAAATAAGATACATTTATGCTCACTACTTGAGGTTTATTATAGGATTCCTAGGCTCAAAGAGAGGCTTTTAGAGTCCTCATAAATATGAATGACCATGATAATTAAGACTATCATTGAGCCAAAACTCAGCAGTTTGGTTATATCAGTAATATATATATTTCATTCTACAAATATTTATCGAGTATCTACTATATGAATAAAATATGCCAAATTTCCACGATCTAGTGGTCATGACTCTGCTTTAGTAAGCAGAGACAGATAGTAAATTTTTTATTTATTGCATTTTAGGTTTTGGGGTGCAGATGAAGAACATGCAAGACTGTTGTATAGGTACACACATGGCAGTGTGATTTGCTGCCTTCCTCCCCATCACCTATATCTGGCATTTCTTATTTTAATAATGTATGTAGTATTATATTTTTGAAAGTTATGTAGCAGTTTGACCTTAGGCGTAGACTTAGAAAGAGCTGAGTTCAGGCTGGGTACAGTGGCCCAAGCCTTTGGGAAGCACTTTGGGAAGCCAAGGCAGGCAGATCACCTGAGGTCAGGTGCTCGAGACCAGCCTAGGCAACATGGTGAAACCCCATCTTTACTAAAAATACAAAAATTATCCAGGCGTGGTGGTGGGTGCCTATAATCCCAGCTACTCAGAGGCTGAGGCAGGAGAATCACTTGAACTTGGGAGGCAGAGGTTGCAGTGAGCCAAGATTGTGCTACTGCGCTTCAGCCTGAGCAACAAAGAGCAAAACTCTGTCTCAAAAAAAAAAAAAAAGGAAAGAACTGGGTTCAAGTTCAGGGTCTGTCACTGAGTGATTTTGGACACTTTAATCTCTGCAAACTTATTTCCTTTATTGTCGAATGAGAATAACAGTAGTATCGCTTACAATAATAGCATTTACAACAACTGGGTTGTTGTAAGAATTAAATAACATACTGCTTTTTAAGTCTAAGCTTATTATAAAATTAACTATAATCTATAACTATTATTAAAGCTGAACTCTGGGCCAGACACAAGGCCCTACAGTCCAAACACTTTGGGAGGCTGAGTTGAGCAGATCACTTGAGGCCAACAGTTCAAGACAAGCCTGGCCAATATAGTGAAACCCCCATCTCTACTGAAAACAAAACAATTAGCTGGGTATGGTGGCACATGCCACCATAAAAAAAAATTGGTTTGGTGTGGCGGGACATGCCTGTAATCTCAGCTACTCAGGAGGCTAAGAAGCACTTGAAACCAGGAGGTAGAGATTGCAGAGAGCTGAGATTGTGGGTCACTGTACTCCAACCTGGGCCACAGGGCAAGACTCTGTCTCAAAAAACCCAAAACTAAAACCACACAAAACAAAGCTGAACTGTGGATATGATCTATTTTGTGGGGCTTTTTTTTTTTTTTGAAACAAGGTCTCGCTCTGTCACCCAGGCTGAAGTGCCCATGGTTTACTGCAGCCTTGAACTCCTGGGCTCAAGCAATCCTCCCGCCTCAGCCTCCCCAGCCAGCTGGGACTACAGGCATGTCCCGCCACACCAAACCAATTTTTTTTTATAGAGATGGGGTCTTGCTCTGATGCCTAAGCCAGTCTCAAAGTCCTGGACTCAACTAATCCTCCCACCTCAGCCTCCCAAAGTACTGGCATTATAGGCATGAGCCACCACACCTGGCCAATTTGATCTATTTTGACATTACTTTGCTTACAGATGTTCTATATTATGTATATCAAGATGCATATTGTATTATAAATACTATTACGTATTATAAATAACACAGCAAAAAACAAAATGAAAAATCATATACTAAACTTAGTACTTGGCATAGAGCAAGTGCTCGTTAAATGTATTCCAAGGATAGTAATGATTGAATGCAATGGTTTTCTTCCCCTTCTTTGTCCTTCTTTCCCACGGTAACTCTGGAACACTTTTTCCTTTTTACTCTTAATAAAATAGTAACGATTTTCATGTGAATATAATTACCTCTGTTCCTCGGAGGTCCTTGGGAAAATAGACATCTTCAGTCATTTGAACGCTTAGGCCAAAATCCACCAAAACAGCTTTTGTAGACATGAAAACAATGTTGCTTGCTGAAATAAGAGGAAATCTTTTTAAGATAAAATGTTTTAGATGCTCATAAGTCAAATGAAAACATTACCTAAAACCATAATGAATCTCAAAGCAGAAAAGACTGAAATGCTTCCTCTTGTGAGACTGGTGTATTATATTCAAAAGAGGAGAATGAATTTCAGAGTTTGGGTGAAAATCACTTCAGATCCATCAAGAATTCAGTCAATGTGGGTATGAATGATTATAGCCCTTAATAATGTTCAAGAACTTGAGCTTCAAACTCCTAGAAATAAACATACTGTTGTCAAGCCACTTTTCTAAAACAGAAAACTCAAATACCCATTTTCTTTTCCCCCAGTAAAAGTCGTGCCACTCTAATTTAGAACTGGCTATTAACGGTTACATGGGTCTCTCTTGCCTACTACCTCATCATATCCGAGCCCTAGAAAACAGTTAGTGAAAGATTATTGTTCCGCTGGTATACAAAATGAAAAAGGGATTTGTTTCTCAAAAATATCTGTCTCTGTGTTTTTAAGTAAATTGCTATTTTTCTTTTTCTTTTTTTTGAGACAGAGTTTGCTCTTGTCAACCAGGCTGGAGTGCAATGGCGTGATCTTGGCTCACTGCAACCTCCGCCTCCCAGATTCAAATGATTCTCCTGCCTCAGCTTCCCAAGTAGCTGGGATTAAAGGCATCTGATACCACACCCAGCTAATTTTTTTTTTTTTTTGTATTTTTAGTAGAGGTGGGGTTTCACCAGTTGGCCAGGCTGGTCTCCAACTCCTGACCTCAGGTGATCCACCCACCTCAGCAACCCAAAGTGTGAGATTACAGGCGTGAGCCACTGCGCCGACCCTAAATTGCTATTTTAAAAGCCTTTTTAACAGGACAGTACCTAATAGGTATGTAACTATAACCTTCAATGACTGCTGAAAGTTATCTTTCCTTATGACTTTGAAAGCTCTAGCAACCTCGAATGATTCTAAGATACGTCTCTGGAGAAAGAAGATGGACGGTGCTCTGAGGGAGCTGTCCACCCCCACCCATGGAGGGTCTTCAGATTACAGGAAGAAGCTTGTCTATCTCCTGAATAGTCTCTTTGAGCCACGTCCAAAGATACTTACGTTTAATATCATGATGGATCACTTTCTTTGAGTGTAGAAAATCAAGTCCCTTGAGAACATGCTTTGTCACCCAAATAATTTCAAATTCTCTCATTGGTCCACAGCTCTCCAGTTTCTCCAGAACAGACCCTCCCTCGCCTGCTTCCATAAAGAGATGGACAGTTTCACCCCACAGGACCGCGCCGTACAACTCAGCAATGTTCTCATGCCGGAAGCACGCCTGGATTTCCACATCAGATGGCTTAAATTGATCTACTGGGATCTAGAACACAACAATATGAATGAGATTCTTGACCCCAAAGACATCTTAAAAATATATAATATAGATCAATGCAAAAAACAAAAGGCAAATAAATGTCCTCAAGAATACTCCGCCCTGTATGAAAATGGACTGCCCAGTTACTATAATGTTCACCTCAGATCTGCCTTTATCTATGTCAGTCAGCTTTAGGTATAAAATTCAGAACAAAACAATAAAAACCAAAATAATGAGTTATTATTTTCATTTAGAGGTCAGAAATCCATCCAAGGTTTTAAAATTATGAATGAATCACAAAAGAGATAGTTTCCTACATATTAGACAACAGTATCTACGGTACCTAGATTTTAGGTTGTATTTTTAATATTTCAGTTTATTGTGAGATGATATGAAGTGTTTGTTGCCACAGTTTATATTCTGCTATAGCAATGTATTTAAAATAAGCACTGGGCCCAGGTACAGTGGCTGACACCTATAATCACGGCACTTTGGGAGGCCAACTTGAGGCCAGGAGTTTGAGACCAGCCTGGCCAACATGTTGAAACCCATTTCTACAAAAAATACAAAAATTAGCCAGGTGTTGGTGGTGCACACCTGTAATCCCAGCTATTCTCTTATTACAATGAGAGAAACCAGGACATAATATTAATTATGTATTTTATTTTTTGTTAAATCAAAAATGAGTGTATTTTATTTTACTGTACTTAAAAAAAATAATTAAAGCAAAACAGACATACAAAAAAGTATAAAAATGATGGGTCCAAGTTAATGAATTATCAACTGAATGTACAAACGTAACCTCCACCTAAATCAAAATGAAAAACCAGATGTCAGGCTGGGCACGGTGGCTCATGCCTGTAATCCCAGCACTTTGGGAGGCTGAGGCAGATGGATTACTTGAAGTCAGGAGTTCGAGACCAGCCTGACCAACACGGTAAAACTTCATCTCTACTAAAATACAAAAATTAGCTGGGCATGGTGGCGATTGTCTGTAATCCCAGCTACTTGGGATGCTGAGGCAGGAGAATCACTTGAACCCGGGAGGCTGAGGTTGCAGTGAGATGAGACGGTGCCACAGCACTCCAGCCTGGGTGACAGAGCTAGACTCTGTCTCAAACAAACAAACAACAAACAAAAACAGATGTCTACTAGCATCAAGAAGCCCCCTCTTGGCCTTTTCCATTCACTACTCTCCAAGGGTAGGTATTCACTGTCCTGACATCCGGTAACATGGATTTGTTTTTGCCTGTTTTAGTCCTTTATATAACGGGAATCTCATACAGATCTCATTTTGTGTCTGGCTATTTGGGCTCAACATAATGGTTACGACATTAATCCACATTATATAATATATATATATAAAATATTTTTATATATTTATATAAATTATATAATATATATATTCATTTCAGCATCTGGAAAGTTTCCAGTTTGGGACCCTTACAAATAGTGCTGATATGAACATGCCAGCGCTTAGCTTTTAGTTTTTGGTGGCCACGTGGGCAGGTCTCTGTGGAGTAAATGCACCTGCAGGAGAGGAATTGTTGATTCTTAGGGATGTGAATGCTCAACTTCAGTAGATACAGTTTTCCAAAGTAGTGGCACCTTGGCAGTTATTGTTTAATAAGAAGGGATAGGGGCCTGGCACAGTGGCTCACGCCTCTAATCCTACCACTTTGGAAGGCCCAGGCGGGTGGATCACTTGAGGTCAGGAGTTTAAGACCAGCCTGGCCAATGTGGTGAAACCCCATCTCTACTAAAAATACAAAAAATTTGCCAGGCATGGTGGTGGGTGCCTGTAATCTCAGTTACTCAGGAGGCTGAGGCAAGACAATCTCTTGAACCCAGGAGGTAGAGATTGCAGTGAGCCAAGACCTTGCCACTGCACTCCAGCCTGGACAACAGAGCAAGACTCCATCTAAAAAAAAACCAAAAAACAAAAAAACGGGATAGGGCCTTTTCAATCACTGATGCATTTAAATTCAGCCCCTAAATCTGCCTTCCTGAGAAGGCTACTCTTTTCCAGTTTCTGCCTCTACCTGGCCAGCTCCACAGCGGGTGGAACGAAAGGAAAAGCACACAGAATTGCTCCTACTTTGCTGAATGGCTCTTCTCTACTTATCTCCAAGAATGATGATGTTATTTATCCAAATCAGTGCTTAAAAAACCAGAACTTTCCTTTTAATCATATAGATCAAAATCAACTATGCGCCTAAAGAGAGATTTCGGGGCTGAATGGCCCCAGGTAGCCCACAAATCCAGAAAAACAAATGCTTTGAGGCAGTGCACCCTTGGATAAGATCCAATCAAAGGATAAAAATCTTTGGTTAATGCAAATGGACAAACAAACAAGAGCCAGAATGCCAAAGACACAGTGTGGGTTATCTAGTTAGAAAACACATACCAGTTTACACGCCATTCTTTTCTTTGTCTTTATGTCTTGTGCCAAGTATACCTTTCCAAAGGCTCCCCGAGGAATAAAATCAGAACCAATATTCCTGTAAGTCAGTTTCCAAGGGATCAGGAGAACATCGGAATCTATTTGGTAACGTCCATTTTGGGGAGTGATGACCTACAACAAAATAAAAATGTGACAGGGTGAGAACTTCAGTCAAGTTGGCTTTTTCTAAGCCCCACCCATTAGGGAGCTGACTATTTTAGAAGCATTCTGGTACACAGTTACGAAATTAATGTCACTGTGGGTTAATCCTACCAACTGTACAGACACTATAACTATATTTAGAGCTTGAGGAAGTCAGAGAAAGCATGTAACAGACACATACGCCTGGTCAGACCTGGTCATATTTCCACCTACTCATGAGTAATTAATTGCCAAATAGAACTTTAAAAATTATTTATCTAAAAAAGCATGACTACTGCAATCAGAAGGCTGAAAATAAAGATTGCGTAAATATAAACCGTGCCTGCAGGTTGACTTGTCTCTATTAAAATGTGCGAACCTGTTAGTCTGCATAACTATTACTCACACATGATGCATACAGAGAAAGAGCTGATTAATTGAAGATCATGGAAGATTTTGGAAAACCATGAGTTAAGCCAGAGCTATGAGTTGATAATGCTATGTAAATAAAGTGATGGCAGAATTACTTCTCATCTACTTACTCACTTAATATCTATTGTATACATTGTATCTATCACGTGCAAAATCGGTGCTAGGCACAGTGTTTGGTGCTGCAGAGGCAGCCATGAACAAGAGATGGCTGACCCCTGACATCCCAGGGTTCAGGAGCAAGCCGACTCTTAGAATGACAAGTTTTGAAACTAGTTGATTCAAAAATTAGGAGACAGCTGGGAGCAGTGGATAACGCCTTGTAATACTAGCACACTGGGAGGCTGAGGCGGGTGGATCACTTGAGGCCAGGAGTTCAAGACCAGCCTAGGCAACATAGCGAGACCTCATCTCTACAGAAAAAAATAATAACAAAAACACAATATAAATTTTAAAATAATAAAACAAAAATTAAGAGTTGTATTCTGATAGCAATGTGGGTTTCAAGGACTTGTGCATTTGTCAAATTTCATAAAATTGGACATTTAACATCTGTGTATTTGACTATATATAAAGAATATTTCAATGTTTAAGACTGGCTCCACTGAGGATTTGAACCAGCAACCTTGCAGTTGCAGGCCTTATACTTTAACTACTGTGCTAACAGGCCACTTATTCCAATTTTTAAAAAGGAGAAAATTAGAGGAGAAAATAATTATAATTAAAACTAAAACAAAATAATATGCGGTCCATGAAAAATGCAATCTGGAATGCATGCCTATAACATGTCTAAAGTGTTCTTTCAAGGTATAGATAGCCCCAGTATCAGTTTTTCAATGTAATCAGTAATATTACGCCTTTTGATTCTGAATTCAGGAATTATGAAACTATCTTTTTCTTTTCTTTTCTTTTTGAGATGGAGTCTTGCTATGTCACCCAGGCTGGAGTGCTATGGCGCTTTCTTGGCTCACTGCAACCTCTGCCTTCCAGGTTCGAGGTATTCTCTCACCTCAGCCTCCCAAGTAGCTGGGATTATAGGTGTGCACCACCATGGCTAGCAAAATTTTGTATTTTTAGTAGAGACAGGGTTTCACCATGTTGGCCAGGCTGGTCTAGAACACCGAACCTCAAATGAGACGCCTGCCTTGACCTCCCAAAGTACTGGGATTACAGGCATGAGCCATAGTGCCTGGCTCAGGAATTATGAAACTGTCAAAGGACCTTAACTTATTTCAAGTAACAGAAGAAGCTGAACAGCTTGGTGCTGTGGCCTATAATCCCAGCACTTTGGGAGGCTAAGTAAGGTGGGAAGATTGCTTGAGGCCAGAAGTTCAAGACCAGCCTGGGTGACACAGTGAGACTGCCCTTTCCATTGCATGTAAAATTTAAAAGAAGCAGCAGCAGTTGAAGGGGAATGTGACAAATCCCCAAATCTACCACATGGGAAGAGCATGAAATCCTGAGTCATCTGCAGATGCATGGGACTTCTCTCTTGGGACACTGCTACAGAAATAGTTCTAGTAACTGTAAGGGCCATTCATTCAAATCTACCACTGCTAATTTTAGCTACACATCCCACAAACAGATGTGTTCACTATTAGGGAATAAAGCAGAGACTAACTCTAATGCTTAGAAATATGAAGTCATTGAATTTCAAAACTCAATATTTACTGAGTGCTTCTGCTGTGTGAGACCCTGTGCGGGGGCCTGAGAGCTAACATAAATACGTGCAGATTGCAATCTTGCCTTGTTTGAAAGATAACCTCCTTTCAAGAAGTATGTCACCTCTGGTTGCTGGAGGCCTCTTTTGCAGCATGCTGAGAAGATGATGGATTTAGTCCCTTTTCACATTCAGACAGAACCCTACGCATGACACTCAACAGCACTTGCTTCTTTTCCCTTTCTTGTCATTAAATATTTGCAGGCCTGATTTCACTGCACCCTCCAGTGAACCATCTGTGTTCAGCTTACCTTCATGAAAGTTTCATCAATCTAAATTTGTTATAATCCAATTTGTTTTTTTGTTTGTTTTTGTTTTGAGATGGGGTCTGGCTCTGTTGTCCAGGCTGGAGTGCAGTGGCTGGAGGGGAGTGACGGATCTCAGCTCACTGCAACCTCCACCTCCCGGGCTCAAGCGATTCTTGTGCCTCAATCTCCCAAGTAGCTGGGGTTACAGGCATGCACCACCATGCCTAACTAATTTTTGTATTTTTGGAAGGGATGGGGTTTCACCATATTGGCCAGGCTGGTCTTGAACTCGTGACCTCAAGTGTTCCACCGCCCCGCCTCGGCCTCCCAAAGTGCTGGGATTACAGGTGTGAGCCACAGGTGCCTGGCCTATAACCCACTTTGAATCAGTGTCCAAGAGGACAAAAGATAATTTCAGCCATTTGTTGAGTGCTAACTACAGCACTGTGCGCAGTACTTCAATACATTAGCTCATCAAAGTCTACAACAATTGTTTGACGTTCACTGCTATTTTTATCTTCATTTCACAGATGAGGAAATTAACTTCAAGAGGTTAAGAAATACGCTAGTTAGTGCAGGCATTAGGATTCCAACTCAGATCTATCTGACTCCAAAGTCATATCTCCTAGTCTGGGTAAGAGCCTTTTATCTTCCAGAAGGCCATAATTAAAGCTGAGCTATGATGAAACCCCAGTTATTAAATGCCGGGTTATAAAAATAACTCAGTTATTTATGTGTTTACATATTTTCTGAGCACACCTTAGCCTTCTCCTCTATAGATCAAATAATGCAAGTTCCTTCACCCCCATTCACCCCTATTTTATAACTTCTCACATACAGGAGACCCTGCTCTCAATACCTGTGAGTTCTCCTAGGCTCCCTTCATGACCCGCCCTGAATTTCCAGTGTAATGTGCAAGTCTTGACCAGTTCATAGTTCTGCAAATGCCTGCTCCTTGCCTAGCTCCAGATCTCCTGTATTACATTTTTTTTTCTTTTTTGAGATGGAGTTTCACTCTTGTTGCTGAGACTGGAGTGCAGCACATGATCTCAGCTCACTGCAACCTCTGCCTCCCAGGTTCAAGAGATTGAAGAGGCTGCCTCAGCCTCCATAATAGCTGGGATTACAGGCATGCGCCACCATGCCTGGCTAATTTTGTATTTTTGGTAGAGACAGGGTTTCTCCATGTTGGTAAGGCTGGTCTTGAACCCTGCATTTAAATTTGAGATGGATGTTTTTCTTCTTTCTAGCGGCCCTTATTTAAAAAAATGTTTTTTTAAAGATAGGGTCTTGCTCTGTCACCTAGGCTGGAGTGCAGTGGCACCATCATCACAGCTCACTGCAGCTTCAATCTCCCAGGCTCAAGTGATCCTCCCACCTCAGCCTCACAAGTAGCTGGGACTAAATCACCTGGCTGATTTTTAAATATTTTATAGAGATGAGTGTCTCACTATGTTGCCCAGGCTGGTCTCAAACTCTTGGGCCCAAGTGATCCTCTGCCCTTAGCCTCCCAAAGTGTTGGGGTTACAGGCCTGAACCACCATACCCAGCCCTATCAAACCATCTTAGGGAAGTCTATGCTGTTTATCTCTGTCAATTCTTCAACTTACCAAAATCATCTCTAAAGGCAGACATTATAAGCACACTTTCTATTTCCTCATTCAGATCACCATCATTTATACTAAATGACACTGGGCCCAGAAGCAGCATTTGAGAAAAAATTTTAAGTATTAGGGTAAGAATAAATTCCACGAGTGACCTGCATGATATGCTACTATGAAACAGACATGGTATTGATCTATATTCATGCAGACATATTATCTAGCACAAAGGCCAAGCGAGCTCTGTCCTACTCTGCTGATCACAACTAATGGATCCCCACATTCAAAATTGGCTCTAAGACAGACACTGATGCAAGCTTGAGTTCCCAGGGTCCTGCCAAGATGATGAGAAAATTTTATAGTACAATACATGAGAAGTTGTGAACACAGTTGGAAATGTATGTGAAAGAAGAGAGAAGATCTGGGGAGCATGGAATTTAAACAATTTCGGAAGGACTGTCATAAGGAAGGGGTGTAACAGTTGTATACAACAGTAACGCCCACAATGGCTTGCATTTATTAAACACTCACTGTGTGTAATGAGGTCATGTGTTCATTAATTACTCCAAATATCAATCCTATAGAGTGTTATGATGATACCCATTTTATGCTTGAGCAAACTGAGGCAAAGGGGGTGAAATGACCAGCCCAAGGTCACACAGCTAATCCATTTCAGAGCTGAACTACATAACCCAGGTACTTTAATTCAGGGCCCATCATCTTCACCACTGCTCATCACAGGTAGTTTTTTTTAATGGCCAAAAAGTGGGGCTTGCACTAAACGGTCAGAGATGAAAATTTTGCTTCAATATAAGGAAGAGAACTTTCTTACAATCAGGACTGGACAAAGAGGAAATTCTGTGTCCTGGTGTGTGATAAGCACCTTGTCACAGTAGATTTTCAAGAGCAGATGAAAATGTTCTACCAATGATTGGAGATGATGAACAGGGTGATTTGAGTCCCAGACAGAGGGCTGGACCTCAAGTATCTTTAAGGCTTTTCAACTCCAAGGTCATGACTCCATGACTAAGCCCTAGGAACATCTTCAGCATCTCACAGTTATAGCTATAAAGTTGTTAAAAAAAAAAAAAAAAAAAAAAAGGGTGAAGGTTTTCTGGTCCTTCATTTCCGTAAAACCACCAAAGAGTTGAGTGTATGAAACCCATTTTGGATTATTTGTTCCCAGACCAGGTTATGAATCAGCGTAGATGATAAATAACATGCAGCACTCTTACGCAGAGCACTTCCCAGGTTAATCTCCTAAAGCGTCTCCCCCAGGTCTTGCTGGATGTTGGTGGGGTCTTTAACAAATATTGTTTTTAGTAAAATCACACACACACACACAATCACTAAACATGCCTATGCTTCAGGATACTTTTGTAATTCCTGGTTCTGCACCCTAAGTAACTCCATGGTGTTGTGGTTGCGGGCTGCCTGACACATCAGGTCTCTATGACTCTGGGTCTCTGCATGTGCAGTTCTCTCCATCTGGAACCCTCTCCACGTCATCTAGCTGATTCCAACTCAATGCTTCTGACCTTAGCTTAGGCATCAATCCTTCTTGGAAGGCGGTGCTGACATTCTCCTTCCTTCTACCACACTCACGGCTATGTAAGGTACCCTGCCTGCGCATTGCCAGAGCAAACAGGGTGCAGGTGCTCTGGGAGGCAGCACACTTTACGACAATTGCCCATTCTACTGCATCCTGCATGCACCAGGCAGCAAACTCCCAGAGGCACAGACTGTTCCATACTATCTCTAGGACCTGACGCACTGTATGTAGATGTCCCAGCTATCTCTAGCAAATGAATGACTAAATCATTGAAAGTTTCCCCAACCCTATGTGGATATACCATACAGATGGATTTTACCTAGGAACCAATCTGTATAGTAGATAATCAGCTGCTATTTTTCTAAAGCTGAGAGACAGAGAGCAGTAAATGAAACCCAGTCGAGTAAAGTTTTGGTAGGGTAGAGGGTAAGATAATGGGAACAGAAAGATCTTGAGCACTGATGATTCCAAGCAGAACACCGCGTGAGGATGAAAGAGAGTCGAAAGCAAGCCTTGCCTCCCTTACCACCCTGACTGAAGTGACAATGATCAGAGATGACAGTCCCCATTCCTAGGCTCTCATTTATGAAGCATGGAGCTCTGAGGGGTTACCTAGCAGGCACAGCAATGTAGTCCATCTTTAAGGTCAGTGGCAGGAAAGTCAACCACAGCACCCCAGAGCCACTGCCCACTAGGTCGATTTGCCTAGTGAGGCCATGTGTAAGATCCACTGGATTTTAAGGTCCTCCTTTTATTCTATTCTGTTTTTTAGTCTTCTTGTTTTATAAGATATATTCTTGATCATTTTTAAAATAAAAATCTTTTAAAAGTTTTTCAAGATCCCTGCCTTTACTTATTTGTTTACTCTTAAACTTTGTCCTGGCCTGGCACGGTGGTTCACACCTGTAATCCTCGCATTTTGGGAGACTGAGATGGGCAGATCACCTGAGGTCAGGAGTTCCAGACCAGCCTGGTCAACATGGTGGAACCCTGTTTCTACTAAAAATACAAAAATTGGCCGGGTGGGGTGGCAAGCGCCTGTAATCCCAACTACTCAGGAGGCTGAGGCAGGAAAATTGCTTGAACCCAGGAGGCGGAGGTTGCAGTGAGCCAAGATCATGCCAATGTACTTCAGCCTGGGTATCAGAGTGAGACTCTGTCTCAAAAAAAAAAAAGAGAAAATTCTCCTTAATTATGTACTTCTTAAAGAGCACAGGACCCATGGCAGGTAATGACAACATTTTACTCAAACCCTTTGCTGATACAATTTTACCCCTCCTCTTAATGTCTTAGTCTCTCTCTTTTTTAGGATTAACTTTTCTGGCCCCACTCCTAAAAGACTTCAGAAGGCTATTTCTTTGTATGGCTTCTAATTTTCCTAAATTCCTTTCTGTACATTCCCAGATAGGATAGGGGAATAGTCAAACATCTTTGCATGTGTTTGCATATTTACAAGCAAGAATAACTTGGTTTTTGGCATATTTTCATTTAAAGTACTCATTTTTATAGAAGGAGAATTAAAAAATTTTTAATACCCATTTTAACAAATAAATATGCTAAAAATGAGAGAAACACACAATTATACTTCTCAGTATAGACATCTATATTACTCTGAACCCGAGTTCTCCAACTGTCCTTTAGCTGGAGAATCAGATATGGCTTCTAGTTAATTACTTCTCATTTATAAAAGGAAGAAATATTCTGACGGTAAAGTACTTAGTCAACTATTAAATAGAACTTGGTAGATCCAGACCAAAGCAGTCACACAACAATACAAAATGTAATCTTGCCCCATGGTGAGCTACGGGTGAATACGACTGGCTCCTGACAAAACAATTCACTGCATAGCTGACCTAAATTACTGTGTTGTTTCTAACTAAATGAATGCGGTATACAAAAAAACAAAATAATTAAGTACTTTGTCTGGACTCCGTACTCATTCAGCACCGACCTTCCCCTAAATTAGCCATTTTGCCATTTAGATACACCAAAAGAAAGGGCGTCACTTTCACCAATAAGCATCTTTTGCAAGTTACGACCTACTTCTTGGCAAATTATTCTTTTTTTAAAAATTAGGTTACCTATAGCCAGCACCTATATTCACCCCTGACATACTAAAAGCCTGACAGAATCCCAGGCACACCTAAGCACATCACCTGATCTACTCTTATGGCAACAAAATGTTGCGACAATATTTTGCATGATTTACATACTTGGGATGACTAAGCAGTTATATCACTTGCCATTCATACTTTGCCAATTAAAGAGAGTAAATCTGTGGATAGCAATTTACTGCCTACATATTGCTTTTTTGCAAGAAATGAATTAATAACATTTCAAGATGTGACAAAAAAGGAACAAATAATTCAACCTTCAAGAAGATTAATTAGTGACAAAGTGTTTATTCCCCTCTCAGATGAAGGAATCTCCTTAGGCCTTTCTTTTCTGTGTAACTGATGAATAAACTTTCTAACGAATTGTTAAATTAAAATACATTCTGATTTTTTGTTGTTGTTGTTGAGACAGAGTCTCACTCAGTCACCCAGGCTGGAGTGTAGTAGCGCAGATCTTGGCTCACCACAACCTTCATCTCCTGGGTTCAAGGGATTCTCCTGCCTCAGCCTCTCAAGTAGCTGGGATTACAGGTGCCCACCACCATTCCTGGCTAATTTTGTATTTTTAGTAGAGATGGGTTTTCACCATGTTGGCCAGGCTGTTCTCAAATTCCTGACCTCAATTGATCCACCCACCTTGGCCTCCCAAAGCGCGGGGATTACAGGTGTGAGCTACCGCACCCGGCCAAAATACATTCTTCTTAATTACCTATTTGTAGAAATACTACCAAAATGTGATTTAAATTATTTAAATAGAACTTTTAATGAAGACTTTTTTTTGCATCTTTAACATGGAGGTACTTCTTAGTGATGATTACATATTTTTAAACCATACCTGGCAGCCCATCTAAACCAAGTTCAGACACCACTCTGCATTAAATGAAGCTGCAGTAGGAAAGCTGAGCACACAGCACTCAACTGATGGGAAAGAAACATACCATGTTTAATAAAATTCCAGATTCTTGTGGTCGCTGTCCATAAAAACGCTTTGCAGTGTTGGATATATGGTTTGCAAAAGCAAGCAAATCCTCCACAGTTCCGTATCTGACTGATGACAACCATGGTACCTCTTTGCCACTAAGCAGCAGAGACTCAGAACGCTCATCATTTTGATTGCTGTCTTGACACACGGTCATTAGACTGGGTTCATAAACTGCTGGCTCTTCACTTGCATAAAGGTTTTCCATAATGTCTATTACATCGGACACATTTAAGTGTTTAATTAATAAATCAATCTCTTCTTTATTGTCACTTCCAGTGCTCATGTACTCCATTACTGTTGCACTTTCTGGAGAGTCTAGAAAAGAAAACACAAATCCTTAGCTTATGATATTTGTATTTGCACTCAAGACCAACGGGAAACTGACATATGAGGATTGGCAACAGGATTTTATATGCTTTTTATTTTAGAAAATGAGGGTCTGTGTCAACTGTGTGTGTGAATTCAAGTTGACAGTGCAGAGTTGAAAGGGACCTAAGATAACCTTTAGTCCAACTCACTTTGCAGAGGGGAAAGCTGAGATCCAGAGAGCTTACTCTTGCTCACGGAGTCAGTGGTATCACCGACAGCCAACTTTCACTAAACATACCCACGAATCAAGAGCAGCTGGGGAATCTTTGAATTCCCCTCAGGCTTCTGGCTCCTTAGGGCTTCCAACCTTACACAACCCAGCTATTCCCCCAAAGTGGCACCCTCCCTGCAAGAATCGCTATGACTTTTTTAAGCCTCTGGTGAGTTTAAACAACTACTTCGCTAAGAGCAGGAACTAGCTTGGCAAATAAAACTCAGGCCCTGAAAGCCAGAAGCTGGTAAAATGGATTTCAATCTAAGCAAATTTGATGGCAATAGGTCAAGTTTCAGGAATAATTCTTATGCAAATGAGTTAAACAGCTCATTGGAAGAAGGACAGGGAGCCTTGTTCTCCCAGTGATGAACAGAAGATGACGATACATTTAACCTGTGATTCAGCTGTCCTCCCTTTAAGAACAAAATTTTTTAATAGTGCAAGGCAAACATCTTGAGGGACCCAGAAGACCAATATCTGGATAAATGGCCCTCTAGAAGCTGCAAGTAGTAGAAAGAAGCCAGGCAAGTCAAATCTCTCATAAGCAAGGCCAAGTGACTCTATTAACCAAAATTGCATTTCAGCTCTTATATACAAATCAACTGCCACACTTAGAGATCTGTAGATGAGAAAAAGAAAGTAAAGCAAGGTTAAAAAGTGACACTGTTACTCAGGATTTTAGAAGAACTCTGTTCTGAAGGAGAAAAGATAAAAGGCTATAAGAGATCTAAGAGAATTTCAAAGCACACTGATCTACTTAAAGCATTGCGGCACTCCCGAAAGCACAGGTATTTCAAGTTCTTAGAAAACACAAACCTTTAACAAACAAGACACTCAGGGCTAGAGCCACACACCGCTGATCACCCTGGAGGTTCAGTTCAAAGCTCAGGAAATGCCCCACTGCAGAGCCACCTGCATGCACGACCCAGCCATCTGCCTCTCAGTGAATTTTAGTTTAAAAATTTGCACTCGATCTGCAATTTAGTGTCATCATTAACTTACTTGATGGTCATTTTCTGACGTATAAATCGTGTCTAAGGAAAGCAGTCTAGCACCCGGCAATCCAACATTCCTCTGGTCTCAGACTGCTTGGAATTAAATCTCATCGCCTCCCCCTCCCCTCACGCACCCCCATTTATTGCTTGCTTGACATTGAGCAAGTCTCTTAACCTCTCTCGACCTCAATTTTCCCCATCTGTAAAATGGAAGTCATAAAAGCACCTACTTCATGAGGTGGTGGTGAGGATTAAAAGAGTTCAAGCTTATAAAGTGCTCAGTGCAGGGTCAGGGGCATGGTAAATAAGCTGTGTCATTTTTAGCTGCTTTATATGCATGAGAGAGAAAAGTACTGAGTCAGATACTGCGTTAGCCTCCTTTCTTATCTGCAAATGAGACGTGGCTATCTATTCCCCTGGCTTCTTCGAAGTAAGAAGATAGCATCTAAAACAAGACACAAAGAGAAAAAAAAGGCAGAAACCCATGAAACGCTTTGATGGCTGTTATCACCACAGTGAAATCTAGAGTGAGGAGGCAGCTTCCCCTCCCGAGATCTACATCCTCGAGGGAGATTGTGATTCAGGTTCTTGGAGTCTACTGAGTTAGGAAAGGAACTTCTTAGGTTAATGGAGGAACATTTGACTTCGGTTTTACTGAGCTGTTTAGCTGCAGTTTCTGCTTGTCGAATTTAATGGAAACACAGAAGTTAAAATAAAAACAGCCGAATTTGGGGCCTCAGGTTGAAAGGATCCAAGTCTCTTGGATTATTTAGCAAATGGATGACTTGACAGAAAAAAAAAATGTTGTCAGTACTAACATGACTCAAGAAAGAAACAGGAAAAAAGTCCACACAGTTCAAATTCACTCAGCTGATCCGGAAAGACAAATTCTAGAGGTTTTTTTTTTTTTAATTAGTAGTAGTAATATTCTTTTCTTCTTTATTCTTTTTTTTTTTCTAATTGGGGGGGTTCCTGTGAAAACTGGAAATTCTAAATGACAAATCCTAAAAGAGCTATAACACAAGGTTTTGGTTTTTAAATCCTGCAAAGTCTCAAGCATTTATATGTAAAACCCAAGAGCTTAAACACACAGATCCACACCCCTAAACTGCAGGTTGCCAGAAACCGGGAAGCAGGGGAAGCAGGACCGGGAGGTGGAGGAGTGTCTGATGCTGAGAATTTTCTCAGTGCCTGCATTAATTCCTTAGCAACACAGGGCTCCTGTCACGCAAATCTGTGTTCCCCAGAAACCCTGCTGACCAGTCCGCGGACTAACTGCTCCTGCAAAAAGCCTCAGCACTTTCCAGCCTTAATGAAGCACACAATATGCTAATAGTTTCTGGGTTATTCATGATCTGTACCCATCTAGAGAAAATTTGGATTGTGAAGGTATTCTAGTTTGGCACTAAAGACGTTTAGTATAAGATGATTTCCCCCCAACACAGTTTATAATAAAAGACTTCATAAAATTCCTGTTTCCTAATCGAACAGAAAATTATGCCAACTTTTAGAATTGGAGAGATGTGCAAATACAGTCAAAATTAGTTACACTGATTATTTCAGAAATCAGCAATAAAATCGCGAGGAAATTCTGTTCCTAATCATTAACATAATACTCTTGGCTGCTTCCACATACACAAACAAAATTTGAGTGTTTCCTGGCAAGTGTGAATGAAAATGGCCAATGTACCAGCACATGCTTCTGCCTAACAAAGAATGACTAGTCCTTGTGTTATTTCCCATCTAAAATATTTTTTTAGGCCCGTGCAATGGCTCACACCTGTAATCCAGCACTTTGGAGGCCAAGGAGGGTGGATCACCTGAGGTCTGGAGTTCAAGACCAGCCTGGCCAACAAGGTGAAATTCTGTCTCTACTAAAAATACAAAAAGCAGCTGGGTGTGGCTGCAGGCGCCTCTAATCCCAGCTACTGGGGAGGCTGAAGCAGGAGAATCGCTTGAACTGGAGAGGCGGAGGTTGCAGTGAACTGAGATCCGGCCATTGCACTCCAGCCTAGGCGACAAGAGCAAAACTCCGTATATGTATATATATTCCTGCCAAAATAGGGCACATCTCTGATTATGTTTTTGTTCTCAAAAAGCCCTGGAATGATGCCTTTCAGGCGTTCAGAAGAAAGGACCGCCACTCTGCTTCAAAACCTCTAGATGCCGCAACGTTCCCATTTTCCTTATATGATAAAGTCTTCATGGGCCACCTGCCAGGCGTCCTGCACACAAACCTTAATCCTTCGGAGAGAGTTGGGGGCGTCAGCTGGAAGTGGATTACAGTCCCCTTGACACAAACGACCCAGGCCACAGGTATGTAAAGCAACTGCAAGAGCCTTTCTTTCCCTGTTTTTATCAAGAGCAGCCTTTTATCCCGTCTTCCCCAAAGTGAAATAGATAAGCATCGCAAAGTTTCACTCTTAAAGGCAGCCGGTGGCCTTCCTTCCCCTGTTAACTTTGGAGACAATCCCTGTGCTCCCCAAGTGTCCTTCTCCGCCCAGAGCTGGAAAAATTTCAGAGTCCTGATCAAGCTTTATCTGTCGAAAACAACTTCCGTGAAAATAACTTTTTTTTTTCCTCCTAGTATTCTTTCTTAGACCAAAAGCCCAGCATGCTTGTTCTGCGATGACCTCTTTAGTCACGGGATACAGTCCAGGTTACAAACTTGAATTTAGTTTCAGCCATTCACAAGTCTCTCGGCTCCGCCAACCCACACTCCCACTCCCTTCCTCCCGGTTCTCTCTCCGTTTAGTCAAGGGAGGCTAAAAAGCTTGTAAATTATCAAAGCACCCGTCATTTGGGAGAATCGCGTCCTCCAGCCTCCGAGGTGCACTCACCAGGTATCGGGCAGGTAGAGTGCGGCAGTCCCAGCGGCGTCGGCGACGGGAGGCTCAGTGACAGCGGGTCCCCGCTTCCCGGAGCACTGCCCAGACCAGCACTGCCCTGGCGCTGCGAATCCGGGAAGGAGGAGGAAGGGGGAGGAGTCGCGAGTCTGCACCCCGTGAGAGCCTTGCGCAAGGTGCTTTCCAGCTGTGCCTGGTGCAGCCGGCGACCCGCGAGCGCAGCTGTGGGCACACCCGCCACCCCTTCCCACGCCAGAATTCCCCTCTGCTGGGGGCACCTTCCATTTCTGCATGGGAATCCCCGGGCACCCATGCGTGATGAGACCCGAAAGACACGCCCGAGACCCCAATCCTGGGTTACCTGCGGCCTCGGTGCTCCCACGCCTGCCGAGCGCTCCAGCCGCGGCCCCCCGACGGTTCGGTGCGCAGCTGGCTGCAGGCCAGTGGGAGCCGGGCACGCCGGGCCACCGGGATCCGGCGGCGGCGGCGGCAGAAGCAGGAGCCAGGGCGCTGCACCCCAGAGCGTGGCGCACCGTCAGGAGCGGCACGGACTAGTGAGCCCCACGTAGCCAGCGCGCCCAGACCTCCTGGCTCTGACCCTGACTCATGGCGTCTGAGCCGGCCCAGGGGCGGCGCAGCAGACGCCGGCCACCGCCTCCCCGACTTTTCCATTTCCCCTTTCTCTCCGTAAACAGAAAGAGAAGGCCAGATTGAAGGGGAAGCCAGAGCCCCCGCGCTGGGAAATTCCGCGCCCCCCCCCCCGCCCTCTGGTTTGCCCTCGGCGCGCCTGGGCGGAGCTGGAGGCGGGACGAAGGAGGAGCTGAGAGGCGCTAGGGGAGGGGTGGGGTACTGGAGCTGCGACCCGAGTGGAGGACCTGGGACAGGGACGAGTTTTCCCTCGGGCCTGGTGACCCAAGGCATCCTAAAGGCAGAGTTGCAAGAGGCGGTTGTGCCCTTTCCAGGTCCCCAGGTAAGGTAGTATATCTTAGTGTACTCGAGCCCTCCGCCCTTCTCTGGAGTCCCAGGGTCCGGCGGGAGTGACGCGGAGGCTGTCTCCAGAGCTTTTTCCGAGCGCCCCACGCCCTGGGGCCACAGAGGCGCGGCACGCCCTCCCATCCGTGCTGCGGGAGGCGGGGGAGTTTCGGGTCTTCTGGGATCCCGGACTGTGGGTCCGATTGCTAGTAGCACGGCCCCGCCTCTCCCAGATTTCGCTTCAAGTCCACACACAATGAGGGCAGTGATCCGTGGTGCGCACGCAGGGACTGGGGCTTAGAGATTCCTAAGAGGCTGTCGCAGGGTGAGCCCGAAACCTGGGTGTTGGGCACTCGGCAGGGGGCCCGGGAACTCTGCCTGCAGAACCTGGTTTTCTTCTTTACAGCCTTTATTAAAATTGGTTATTTTGCGGCACCGCCTTATTAGTAAGCGCACCTGTACTGAACTCAACCCGTCCCCCACGCCCCTCTAACCCTCAGCCCTAACTGCTCATCTGGGGTTTTCCTTCTCGAGTGGAAAGCGTTTACTCCAGGTGTAACCGGAAGAGAGTTCTAGAGAAAAGCGCCTCTCTCCCAAAATCACTCTGCGGGACATTCCCAATAACCCGACACCCCCTCCCCATACATTTCCCACCTAACAAGCATCCATTTTAGCCAGGCATTCGACCAGAGCGCAGAGGGCGAGGGACCGTGTTAGGTAGATATCCTCACTCTCTGCCCTACGGCCCAGGACGTGGGGTGTCCCGGGCACAATCCAGATCAAACGCGGTCACAAACTGTCCACGCCCTGTTCTTCTCGGTGCCCAGGCGGGTGCTCCTTCTATAGTTGCAAAACTGGCCCCACGCGGTGGCACACGCCCGTAATCCTAGCGCTTTGGAGGCTGAAGCGTAAGGATCACTTGAGGTCAGGAGTTGGAGACCAGCCTGGGCAACACAGCTACTCCGTCTCTACAAAAAAAAAAAAAAAAAAAAAATCTAAAAATTAGCCAGACATGGTGGCTCACGCGTGTCATCCCAGCTACTCCGGAGCTGAGGTGGGAGAATTCCTTGAACACAGGAGTTCGAGGCTCCCATGAGCTACGATTGTGCCAGGACACTCCAGCCTGGGCGATAGAGCGAGGCCTCGTCTCACATTTAAAAGATACTATATATATATATATATATATATATATATATATATATATATATTTTTTTTTTTTAATCTGACTTGGACCCTCACTAGAGCCCTCCACGTTTCTGCTATGAAAAATGAATTGCAATTCCGACCTGAAGATGTATTCAGAGAATTGCTGGAGGACATAGGTTAGCTGAGGTGACAAGCTGGGGCCTCTTTGCAGGATTTTAACTCGCAGACAAGCCCAGGTAGCAAATCCAACGTCGAGGGCCGATTGTCTGACTCGGCACTGTCATCCCCCAACTTATGTTAAATACGACAGCGATTTCATATTATACTCATTCATCTCATGAAGCCGGACGTTTGCCATTCCCTCCAAATCTGCAGGCGGTCCCTTGCACCTAGAGTGGAACCGCTTCCTAAAGGCTGTGCCTTTCTGATCGTGGAGGGAGGGAAGGCAGCTTCCACCAACCAGGCTGCGAAAGCAGCCTGGGCCAGGGTTGGGGAGGAGAATCCCCGCTCGCCTGCGCGCTGGATGGGTGGAATTTGGCATTCTCAAGCGCTGAAGCAAAAGTTACCAATACACTTTGGGCCTTTTCGCTGGAAACCGGGTTAGCACAGGTTGTTGCCTCTGATTGTAACGTGAGAGATTGAGAGACGTCTCTTTCTCCTCTGTTGTTTAGACAACAAAGGATGATCTTTACACGAGTTTTAAAAATAGAATCATGGAATCACTACCCTCCCCACCCGCCTTGAGTGAGCTCATTAAAACCACACCTAATCTTCTGGGAACTGCATTATTAGCCTTACTTCCTACATAGAAGTCTCCCAAATATAGCTGCATTTTAGGGAGCTGGTGAAATGCTGGGCTAGCAGGGTTCTCTCTTGCTTCTCCTGGCTTACACCGTAGCAGGTTTCATTTTTGGGGTGAATTGGGTGAGTTTACTTGAAAATATTTGTAAAGTTTTTAACAAGGAGGCCAAAAGGGAAAGAGCAACTGAAAAGAAAGAAAAAGTTTGTGGACTCTTTGCATTTATTTGTTTATTTATTTGAGATAGGTTCTTGCTCTGTCACCCTGGCTGGAGTGAAGTGGGTCAATCTCAGCTCACAGCAACCTCTACTTCCCCAGCTCAAGTGATCCTCCCACCTCAGCCTCCCAGATAGCTGGAACTACAGGCACATGCCACCACACCCAGCTTATTTTTGTATTTTGGGTAGGGTTAGAGACGGGGTTTCGCCATGTTGCCCAGGCTGGTCTCAAACTCCTAAGTTCAATCAGTCCGCCCACCTTAGCCTCCTGAAGTGTGTGCATTTTTTTTTTTTTGGTCCGGCTTTTGTTTTGTTTTTTATTCAGATTTACAAAAACAATCCCGCTCTTTTAGGGGCATGCTAGCTAAGTGAGGTTTTGTTTCAGTTTGTTTCTTTTTGTTTTTTTGTGGGTTTTTTTGTTTGTTTGTTTTTTGTTTTTTGAGATGGAGTCTTGCTCTCTCACCCAGGATGGAGTGCAGTGCCATGATCTTGGCTCACCACAACCTCCACCTCCAGAATTCAAGTGATTCTCCTGCCTCAGCCTCCTGAGTAGCTAAAACTATGGGCAAGCGCCACCATGCCCAGCTACTTTTGTATTTTTAGTAGAGACAAGGTTTTCACTACATTGACCAGGCTAGTCTTGAACTCCTGACCTCATGATCTGCCTGCCTCAGCCTCCCAAAGTGCTGGTGTTACAGGCGTGAGCCACCGCACCCAGCCACTAAGTAAGTTTTAAACCTATCAATGAGAAGTCCCTTGAGCCAGTGTGCACAACCACAGGGGGTTATTCTAGAAGTGATCCTAAAGCACATTACTAAGCAGCTCTATAGAAGCTTTTTGAAGCAAACAAAATGCACTTGCAAATGAGGTGATAACCAATTGCAGTTTACCTGAAGAGGCTTGCTCCACTCACAGGTTGGGACATTAATGGGTTTGTAATATGTAGTTTGGAAATCTGAATTATTTTACTCACAGAAAAAAAATATTAACGATGGGTAGGTAACCCTGTTGACCCATTAACCAATGTAACCACAATTGTGCTCTAGGCTAATTAATACGATATGAGGCATTGTTTTTCAGTTTTTAATATTCATAAAATATGGAATTTTGTGAACAAAATAAACTGCAATAAGTTGGAACATAGCTATAGGTCACTTGGTGAAAATATGCAGGTTTTTTTTGTAAAATAATAAAATACAAAGTATTGAAGGAAAATAATTACATACTGAATTTGAATAAAGCTTTAAATGAGCTGTTTTAAAGTTCAGAGGAACTTGAGCATGATTTCATGATTGTAACTTTATCTTTATGGTTTTATATTGAAACAGCTATACTATATTTGCTGATCAAGATGTTTGAATAACAACCTCTTCATACTTTTGATAATAACCTCAGGTGAGAAGTCTTACAGACACCTAGGTAATAAACTTACAGCTATTATTATTGTCTTAAATTGTGAACAATTTGAAACTGGATTTTAGAAGTCCAGTAGCTCTTTTTCCATTCATTGATGTGTATAAGTTTCTTTTTCTTTTACTTTTTTGAGATGGAGTCTCACTCTGTTACCCAAGCCTGTGTGCAATGGCACGATCTCAGTTCACTGCAACCTCCACCTCCCAGGTTCAAGCAGTTCTCCCGCCTCAGCCTCCCAAGTAGCTGGGATTACAGGTGCTTGACACCACGCCCCTCCCAGCTAATTTTTTGTATTTTTAGTAGAGACAGGGTTTCCACCATGTTGACCAAGCTGCTCTTGAACTCCTGACCTCAGGTATCCACCTACCTCGGCCTCCCAAAGTGCTTGGATTACAGGCGTGAGACACCATGCCCGGCAGATGTGTA